TCGTACAATTTTTTTATTGGGCGTCGCCAAGAGATTACAGCAACTGCTCCAAGCTGCTCCTAAAGACTGGAAAAAATCAAATACAAGATCAAAACCCATATTATTGTTATCAGTCCCCCCTCCCCTTAAACATTTTTTTTTTATAACATAAGGTGGCAAACGAGCAAGCGGCCCCCTGAAATCGCCAAAATGGCGAAGCGACCGCTGCCCATAGACATCCGCAATTGCAGATGCGTTGCCTACCATTATACGACGGAGGAGGAGACGCACAGAAAGAGGATATTTCCCCTTCCTATGCATCTCCTCTACCGTCAAATCCACTTCCTCTTCCCAACCTCTCCTTATAAGAAAAGGGTGGTAAAGAGAAAGGGACTTAAATTAGGCCTCCGGCACCACACTCATCAGACGAAACACGGAATTGCTTCCATTTCACGCCTGTCTTCTGTGTGGTCGTGGTATTACACCGGGCGTGCCGGCCTATTCGTGCTAAGATGTTAAAGCGGGCACTACCACTGTAACATTTCTCATTGTCTTCTTCCAAATTTATTCCGATCGATTTCTTTTAAAAAAAACTGCTTTTATCAAAAGAATTTATTACAGTACAGACATCTCATCTGAATTACATTTATAAAAACATTAAATAAAACCGGTAAAGATTATTAGCGACATTTATTAATAAGTCTGACTCCGGCAAGTTTGTATTAATTAGCGGAATACGGAGTTCGCGCACGTCCCACACAAACTGTATTATTTGTGTTCCTAAGGGACTTCCCTATCGCCCTACATTATTATATTCTCTCACTAGTTTGCCGCACTGCTATCGAATGGCTTCTACTAATTGAAAGATGGTTTTATCTTACTCGTATAAGAGTTCGTTTTCTGACCAAATCAGATAATTATTAAAGCTGTTTCCAAATGTTTTGCTAATATTATAAAATGCGAAAGTTTAGATGGATGAATGTTTGTGAGACTTTGCCGAATAAACTACTAAACGGATCTCTATGAAATTTATTATAGATGTAGAGCATAGTCTGGAAGAACAGATAGGCTAGTTACTGTTGATTTTTTTTATTCCTTGCGGGTGAAAGATAGTAAATAAATGTAATTAGCGCCGTTAGCTAAAATAATCAATTACTTTTGTATCTGTACTAACATTATATAGAGGAAAGAATTGTGTTTTTGTATATATTGAAATAACTCAGTAACTACTGTGCCGATTTCCAAAATTCTTTCACCATTATAAAGCTACGTTATCACTCAGTAACATAGCTATGTGTTACCATTTTATAATTCCATATGAAGTAAGTCGCGAGAAATCATTAATTCAATTGACTTCGACCATAGACAACTATCTAGCTAACTAGCTAGAAAAGAAAATAATAGAAAACTGTCAAACAACAAAATACGATTACAACATTATTTAGAGAATATGACAGCTCTAACAGTCCCTTTGGATGCACTTAATTGCACCCTCCCATTTTTATGACAAAGCGGCGAGTCTGCCGACCCCAAGACATATCGTTAAACGGCAGTCCGCGGCGTCGGAAGCGGCAAATCATTCAGACCGGTAGTGCCCGCAGACGACGCCTAAAACTACCCGCCATTCAATTAATCTCATTGCGGACCACAGACTAACGTATCGGCAGAGACAACGGTTGTTTTTTAGAAAAAAAGGTAAGTTATCGGACCTTTAACGATAAGATACGAAAACCTAGAAAATACTGTATCTACACTATACAACTATTTGTCAAAATGAACATAAGTTTCAAAATATAATATGTACTGAATTTGAAATGTGTCTCGGTATACCAATACGGACTCTTGTAAAGATAACATTCTTTTGCCTTTCTTTGGAATGTTTCGTTTAAAATAAAAGACAGTTAATATGAGACTGCCTTTTCGTTATGCATTCAATAGGCAGTGCACCAGTAGATTAAATTAATTTAATCAAAGATTACTTTTAGCTTGTAGTCTCTATCATTTATTAACCTGTGCCAAAGTGAGTCGTTTGACTGTGCAGAAAAGCGGTAAAAAGTTGAACGATAAATTGCATTCGAAGGGAAGTCGCGGCGGAATAATTGTTCCAAGGAATTCGGGTGATCTTTGGCGACCTGCTCACTACCGCTGCGGCGTCGCTTTGTTCCGAACTTAAAACAATATCTTTCCACTGACAACGCAGTCGAAATTCGTTTTGATAACGAATAAAAGAAAATTTCCGACCTGTGATGCCTTCATTAAAATCTCTGAAGCCTTCTGATTCTGTCTCGTTATTTGAATTACTGATTTCTTTAGTAGTTACAATATTTTGCTACATTACGGGTTGTAATTTTAACTTTATTGATTTATTATTAACAATAAGCTTTGGATGTGCAGCAAAAAAATAATGTAATTTAATCTGGACGTTTAAATTTCGTAGAATTTTATCATTTCACTTTGCTGATATATTTTTTAGTGAGCAAAATTTTAATCATATCTATTACTACCCCTACTAATGTACGATTCGATTAAAAACGTTTTCTTATATTTACGCGAATTCGCCCGCGTGAAATTAAAAAAGTATACCCTATGTTACTCACAGATAAACTAGCTTTCTAATGGTGAATGAATTTTTGAAATCGACCCAATAGTTTTTACATCAATCGAATACATACAAAAATACAGACCTTTCCTCTTTATAATATAGTTGTATACAAGTAGACAGGTTATTTTTTTTCATTCAGAAGTTACAATAATAGAATGAAAAAATACTGTAAAAAAATTCATCAAACATTATAAATTAATTTTGTGTATGGGATTACTTTAGTTATTATATCTACAAAAACTATAACTCAGGTTAATTATTTTCATTACAGCGCAAATTCGCACGAGTTATCTTCGAGAACAGCTGGTAAGGGCTGACGACACGCACTCATTTATCATCATTTGCTCACTTTGGCCGCACTTTGGTTTTTTCGCAGTCTGCGGCCAAGCGATATATTCACTATAATAGTTTATTAACAACACTATTCTTAAATTAATACCCCCGAGGAATTAAACCTTATTTACGACGTACCAAGAACTTGTAATAGAATAATGTTAAAATATGATAACACTGGGCGTTCCACTAAACTTTAATAAATCACTTTTAAAAACATTAAAACGCAAAACAACAATCAAACACTAGACTATCTTTAGTTACCTTATAAACTAAGCTGTAAGGACTCATAAGCGAGCTTTTAAAGCCCAAATTTATATCTATACATATAATAAAATTGGAGTGTCTGAAATATCAAAAGAAAAATTCCAGATTTCGGGATGATCGATGTATTTGCGTTGCTGATAACGAAAATCGCTTTTAAAAATGTTGTTGTCTGTCTGCCCGAAAGCCGCGTTTGTTCGTCGTAATTTCCGAAACGGCTGGACTGATTTCGACCGGAGTCACTGAAGGGTAGCTGACATAGATAGGCATATTATAAGCTACTTTTTATCTTAATACTGCGTGGATAAAGTCGCGGGCAATAGCTGGTATTTGATCTAATTGGTCACCAACTGCCAAAGTTTAAATACCTTCGCATTACATTTCATCTATCTATCATACTAATATAATCAGTGCGGATGTTTAGATCGATGGATGGATGTTTGTTAGAGTTTGTAACATAAACAGCTTTACAGATTTTGATTAAATTTGCTATGGATGTAAATAGTCTGGAAAAACACGTAGGCTACTCACTTTTGTTTTTTAATACCATGCGGACGGAGTCGCGGGCAATTTAGTCTAGTTAAAATGTAAACGCGGATAATGTATTTCGAATTAAATGTAAACGCATCGCGGCATTATGCCAGCCAGCGATGCGATGTAGGAATGTACGAATTCGATTATTTTAGGCAACTGACGCAAGGCGACATCGGTCGATGTCGTACAAGTTCAATGGAGGTCAATCTTATTATCAGCTTCCAAATACCAGATAAATGGGATTCTCCTCACAACTGTAGTAACTAAATGAGTTAAAAAGATAAAATCTTTTATAAAATCATATATGTAAAGATAATCAGTATAGCTTATTAGACATTGATTACGTTTTTCTTTCGACATTTTTATATTAATGTAAGTGAGGTGAAGTTTTTGAGGGTATCCATGTGTTTATTTATTTTACCACTGAAAGTTCCTGTAACCAAACAACAATAAAATAATTAACCAATACTAAAGTACATTAACTAAATAAATTTATGTTCATACTCACGCACAAAGCTACACAGAGTGGAGCATTAATTAGGACAAACAAACACAAACGCACTAAATGTCGATAACATTCCTGGGAAATACTAACTCGAGTCATTGTTAAATTGTTACATTAATAATTATAACAAATAAACAAGTAATTAAACACAAATAATAAAGCAATATAAAGTCCTTATTTTAAACAAACATTTATGACCAATTAAGGTTTTGAAAGAGCAATTTAGGATTAATAGTAAGTATTAAAAAAAAAATTGCGTAAGAAACTTTATAATTTTTAGTAAGTCAAACGAACGAACGTTACGTTACGAAAAAACGTAAGAAAAGTCACGTTTACAAAAATAACTGTAACTAATAAACAATTGAATTCTCCTTGTTTTAAAGATAGGCCATCACCGTATAGCTTAGGAGAAATATTTACAAAGATATATTAAAGACAGAGTGCACACAAGAAGTAAAGTATTTTAATAATTTCACTTCTGGACACGATAAATGTGCTATAAACAAGAAGTTTAATTGATCTCTTTCTAGAGTAAGTCATACCAAAAGTTAATTTTTAAAAAGTATTCACTCAGAGCTTGTTTTCATGTATGTATTTCAATGGATTTATAATACATAAATTTCATCAAAATCATGTTTTTCTTAATGCTAGGGTTTTCATAACAACAACAATTTAGTTATCTAAACAATTCAAATTGGCTGATTTAAATCACAAAGTTTCTATTTATTAAATACTCTGTGGTCATTACCGCCATTTGGATATGTTTTGGGGTACAGCAGTCGAGTCCAGGCGTCGTCAACATGTGGACGTGCGCAGGAGTGCTGGCACTGGCGGCGTGCGCGTGCGCCGTCACGCGAGACCAGTTCTACCCCTACGGCCCAACCCTAGACGCGAGTCTACCGAAAGGACAGACAGCATCCTCTCCTGAAGTTCCTCTCAAAGTGCCAATTACCTTTTACGGAGAGAGCTACGAAACGATATTTGTAAGTTTTTTTTTTGCAATGTAAAAGAGTGCTATCTATCGAGCAGTGATCAGGTCTTTTGCATGTCTCCCTGCATTTTTATCACAAGATTGTTTGTTTTAAATCGAAATGAAGCGACGACCGAGTTAGTGATATTTAGAGATAACAGATTAAAAAAATACTTATTTATATAATTAATTAATTATAAAGCCGAGTACACTAACTGAAAAACACTAGGTTAATATAAACTCGACTTCAATTTCATTTCTAGTAACTATTCCAATGATTATTGTCTTATTATTTAATAATGAATAAATAAAATTTTACGTGAGCACAATTATAACAAGCAACTGGTGTTAAATATCAAAAGTGCGTTAACATTTTTGATTAACAAACTGTTTACAAAGTTAAATAAATATAGTAATTTAAGCCATGCAAATTAGGTCGGCGCATTGATTACGTTAGTAACAACAAACTTATTGTTTGTACAGATAATTAACAAAAATAATGAAACGCATTACAATTTACTCTATATAAATTCATTATTACTAATATTTGGCACCAAGTTATAAAGACATCGACGCAATAAATAACGAAATTGTGAAAATGTTTCCTTCCCGAAATGGTTGATAATAATTATTTCTCGAGCGTTCTCTATTAAAACAAATATTAAAACAGTATGTTAGTTATATTTAAAAAATAAACGATATTAAATTCACTATAATTTTCAAAGGCCGCAACACACCTTCAGTTTTAACTACACAATTTAAAATAACAGTAAATAGTTTTACAATATTTTTTTTCAGTTAAAACTTGAGGTGTCCAGCGGCTTTAATTGTAATTTTATGTAATTCGAATAATAACATTATACCTATTGCAGTCAGTAAAATTCAATAAATTAATAATATGATCCAAATCTGAATTATTCGTTTGTAAATTTTGCAACAGTGATATGCGTTTATCGCTAATATGCAGAACGTTTAAATTTGCAAGCGAGATAAGGCTGGGTCCACACTGCAGCGGACGGAAGCGCACGTGGGCGTGGGGGCGGCGCGGCCGAGCGGTCACTGACTGGGGTACTTCGGTATTTTGCAAATTAGTGCATAACCTTCGTAAAAAGTTAAAAGTCAAATTGTTAATAATGTCACATTGTAAACCTTAGGTACACAGCAGTTCCTTTTCATGTAAGAACATGCGACTTGGTTTTCTGTGTTACTAAATTTAGCGGTAAACTTAGTATTGGATACTAGGAATTAAGTAACTAGCCAGTGGTGGTCTTAAATAACTTATAAAATAAATATATACTTATGTAGTAATACATGTAAGTTTACTTTAATAATTTGAAAGTCTGTCAAATAATCTATTGTAATTCATTCATTGAATCTTAAAACATCGATTACTTAATGATAAGAAAACAAGCAATTACAAAATGTTCACAAATATCTCGTTAAACATTTTAGGAGCGCGTTATCAATTGTTAAGCAAGAGTCAAGACCTCTGCGTGTACCTCACGATACGGCTACGATATCAGGAACCGGGTCACAGACATGTTGTAGGCACACACCGCCTAATCATTCAGCCAAGATAACTTACGCATCTTACGCAAAGTTTTAGAACACATTGACATCGTATTTTATAAAAATAACTAAGTAATTGAACCCGGATTAGCAAAACTATTAATATTAAGCGGATTAAAAAAATGTCGCCGAAAAAACTTCAAATCATAATTTTATTGTTTCCTTTTAAATTTTAAACAAAATCAATACATTTTTAGCGAAAAACGCCTGCCTGGCTATCCCAAAACAATGTACAAAAGTCAAAAATCTCGACATAATCTGAACAATTAATTACGCATACAATATATGTATGACCATTAATTTTAGGTATTTCTGCATTTGCATACAAATACCGGAACTTGTACACGTCATTTAGGATGTAAATATAAATGTAGAGATCGCAACATTGTCTTTTATCTATAGTCGATTGCTTTATATAAAATACATTAATAATTACTTCGACTCATGTAAACAACTCTATATAAATCAGTTATACAAGGTAATGATAAAATATTTTAATGTAAATATCATCTCAGACGATTAACATGAAAAGAACATATGAAATAATCTTATTTAGTATTATTATAAGCCATTCGCCCGCGACTCCATCTGCGCGGAATTAAAAGTAACTTCCACTTCACTACCAGACTATAGTCTATAACTGTGCCAAATTTCATCGAGATCCGTTCAGCCCTTTAGGCTACAAACTCTGACAAACATCCATCAATCCACACTTTTGCATTTATAATATTAGTGACTATGTTTTAACGTTAACATTTTGCTTACAGATAAACAACTACGGAGTCCTCACGTTTAGAGCGGACATTCCATCGTTCCTCAACGCGGAGTTCCCTCTGCCGTATCCCTCAATCGCAGCGTTCTACACAAACGTCGACACGAGCGAAGCCGGTGACATATTCTACAGAGAAACTGACGAGCCTCATGTACTTCTTAAAGCCGAAGAGAGCGTGCAGAGCAATTTCCACGACTATTATGACTTCAAACCTAAAAGCGTCTTCATCGCAACCTGGTTGGAGGTCTCTTACGTTGGCCATTCCGATCGCAAGAACAGCTTCCAGATCACAGTGATCAGCAATGGTACTGAGAGTTTCGTTGAGCTGATCTACCCGGAGAGAGACATCCAGTGGATACAGCGCGAAGCTCAACCAAACAGCCTCCCAGATGCTAAGGCACAGGCTGGCTTTGTTGCTGAGGACGGCAGACTACTGACGCTCAGGGGATCCGGCAGCCATCAAATTAGAAACATTGTTTCGTAAGTAATTCTTAACATCTCTATTCATGATAATTTTTGCTAGAATATTTATTAAAGTACCATTTTTCTATCACTTGAATAATAATTTACTTATTCTAGATGGAGCAACGTCCATGAACCGGGTAAATATGTATTCAGAGTGGGTAATATCTCGTCCGATGGCAACGTAGCTGTCCCCGATCTATACAATCAAAACGAAGACGAGATCGAAGAGGAATCGAAAACTTGTGCGCAGAGCGGCCCTAGCGTATGCCACATTCAAGCGCGCTGCGTCGATTACCCCGCGGGAATATGTTGCCAGTGCGAGGAAGGATTCTACGGCAATGGGAAGTCTTGTATCAAAGACGACGTGCCGCTTAGAGTCCACGGTAAAGTCAACGGAATCATTAATAATGTTAATCTAAATGATGTGGACGTTCAAGCTTACGTCGTGGTAGCAGACGGCAGATCCTACACGGCTCTTTCGCAGGCGCCACCGTCACTCGGCACCAGCTTACTGCAACTAAGTGTGATAGGAGGAGTTATCGGATGGCTTTTTGCAAAGCCGTCTGGTGGGGCCAAGAACGGCTACCAGTTGACCGGCGCTCTTTTTAATCATACTGCTGACATATTCTTCCCTGAGACTGGTGATAGACTAACGGTGTACCAGGAATACTTGGGTCACGATGTGTTCGATCAGATAACGCTAGAAGCTGATGTCAGAGGCACTATACCTGTGGTTGCACCTGGAACCAAGCTTGATATTTCAGAATATCAAGAGCAATATACGCTAGTCGAGTTAGGTGTCTTACGCAGTGACTCTTCTCGCACATTTACAAACAAAATTACCGGCGAAAAGTACGAACAAAGAGTGTCACAAACCTTCACATTCAACTCTTGTCGATATCTCCCTCCTTCAGAAGATGACACGACTTCCTCGACTCTCAAGGTGGCTAAGAATTATCTTGGGTATGAGTCCAGAGAAAATATCGTAAGATACGGTACTAGTAATAAAATCGTACCTCTAGGTAAGGAGGACCCTTGCATTGAAGGTAAAAATAGTTGCGGCCCTCATAGCACATGCGTAGTGCAAGGCGACACATTTGCATGTGTGTGCCAATCGGGTTTCTCGAGCCAATATCGGGACGATTCCACCGTCGAATGCGACGATATAGATGAATGCATGACCGGGACTCACAACTGTGACGCAAACGCTGACTGCTATAACCATGAGGGTGGCTTCCAGTGCAGATGTCGAGACGGGTACGACGGTAACGGCGTCTCCTGCAGTCGTGTCCTACAATGCAGGGACAAAAATTGTGACCCTAACGCTCAATGCTTAGACACGGAAAAAGAAGCAATATGCATTTGTAATCCTGGATTTACTGGGGATGGACAGAGGTGTTGGCCGACGTACGAAAATAAATGTAATAATTGCTCTCCAAACGCTTACTGCAGATTCGTACCAGAAATAAACAATTACGAGTGTGAGTGCAACAATGGCTATAGCGGCGATGGATACTACTGTTCTACAGACCTCCCCGCCACCCCTACCACACAACAAACGGAACCTAGTTATCCTTCACCTGCTACATCGAACATCCCATCCAGCTATTCAAGTCAAGAACCTAGTGTTCCTACATATCCATCCAGTACTACAAGCTATCCAACCCCGCCTAGTTTGCCCAGTTACAAGCCAACTGTTCCAGATTACCCTAGCTACC